GAGTTGAGGGTAGAATTGGCATGCCAAGAGTCGAGGGTTCTACGCGATCGTTCGGGACAATTCTACGTGGTCCTTCGAGACATTTCTACGAGGTCTTTCGGGACATTTATGTGGTCCTTCGGGACATTCTATGTGGCACTTCGGTGCAATTTCTACGCGGTACTTCAGTGCAATTTATACGAGCCGTGGTGACATCATTTGTGCACAACCTCAATGTAATTACATATCTTTAGTTCTCATAAATATACCATGCGCTATTAAAGAAATAACATGAATAAGTCATGTTAGATGTTATATGTTTTTTATTGGTGTAATACATGATTTTCCTTGTACCACATGGTAATTATAAATGTTAATTACATGATTGTATGTAATTGCATTTTGCATTATGTCATTCATACATATATGCCTAACTAAGTCAATGAGTTAGCGTGTGAGTGTTTCACACGTAGAATCAAAGAAGTCGGAAGAGCAAGGATAGGCAGCTGGGACAGCATAACTTCACCAGAGATCAGATCAGAAACAATTTAAACAGTAGGTTCTTTTTGTTATAGTAAATAGTGTTGGTATGTAACTAAAGGTTTAAATTGTATATGCTCTGATCGGTTTTGTAAACCTTTTTGATTGAATTTATGTAAATTATTTAGTATAGTTAATATAATCTTGAATTTCTCCACTATTTTGTACAAGAAAATGATTTGAAATATCAATGTGACACCTCAGATTCGTATCCGAATCAGATACGGGTAGGGGGTGTTACAGAATCATCCACCAACAATGTATTTTCTGGAGTGAATTAAACATATTGATTCCAAACATCATGCATATATTTACAAAATGTGAATTCATCTTTGTTTTTGCACTTGTTTTGATCCTATAAAGAGTTAAACACCAACTTTTTTGTAAGATGATAAAGAAATAATTGAGAAACATATGTATCTTATTCAAATGAATAGAAATTGAGAAGACAACCCGTGTAGTTTGTCAAGTACATGATTAATGTTATGTCTGTAATTTGTTACAATTAGCACCATAAATATACGAGTATAAATTATTTAAATAACTTAAGAGTGATTACATCAACTTCGAAGAATAAATGGCAACAACAAATTATCCAAACAAAATTGAATAAATTATGCAACACCTGATCTCATTATAACATCTAAACATTAGAAAAAGTACATTAAATAGTACGATGCATACTTCAAATAATTTATAGAGAATTGGTTTACAATGCATACTTTTAGGCTTATTCGAAAAATAGCCAAGCACTCTGTCTAGACGTTCCATTTTTATAATCTAGTGTTGATAAAAAAATCGGGGTTTTGTATAAATGTGATTCGCCTCGAATAATTTACGACTATAATTTTTTAAAATATTAGTTCATAGAGTTGCCACCAGTCGTTGATTAGGGTGTGATTGAGCACCTAAAATATATTTTTTATTTTAATAAAATTAAATTTTAATTATATTAAAACAACATTTTAATCTATGTTACTAAAAATTGAGTTCGGGAGTCGATTACGCATGAGAAAAGATTTAAATCCCCCCACCGCACCCTATATCGGTACCTAATTAACTAATTAGTTGTCTTTGTAATAAAAATTATAAATTTGAATGTAATTTAATTTAGGGTCCCTTTTAAACACATACAAGTTAACATCTATTTCTAATGCATGCAACGTAACAAATACAATTGATTAATTATCTTACCAACCTTTAATAAGAATAAGGATGTTCAGTTATTTGAAGACATCGAAACCAGACCTTAGATTCAATCTAACAATCTTGTCTCGATGAATTTAATTAAGAGAACATATCTTTTTCTCATTCTCAAATTTTAAGTGATATCAACTTTTATGGTTTCGATTGGTAGGATACCCTTTTATTTTAAAATCATCTGAAGTGACATTATTATACATTAAGACAATCACTTCACCACGATTTAAAAATGAAATGGTATTACCCTTAGTTTGATTATTTCGATTGAGTCAAGTAATGTTTATGAGAATATCATACATATCAATTAAAATTAAACCTAGGCCTATATGTAAAAGAAAAAACATATTTACATGCATATAATATGAAACATTTATAACTTAAAAAGCACAAAACATATAATATATTAGATATAGCCGTATATTTACATTAGTGGAAAACAGTGAACATGGAATATGGTATGCGTGTATTATAAAATATGTATAGAAGATGCAAAATGGATTTGACATACATATAAATTTACATAAGCATAAATATACACACAACACAAATATAAATATAAAGTGAACCTATATTAGCATAATATCAGTTAATATGAATTCAGAATAATTATAAAAAAACAATCAAGATGATCAAAGATTTCACATGCCATTTTAACGTTTAGTCATCTTGAATTTTGTGCAAAGATTATTGTGAGAATATTAAATTGGCAGCAATGAATACAAATAGACAACATGGAACTTATTTAACACTTCGCGCATTAGTCAATCCAATTTAAAGGCTAAAATAAATGAGTATTAATTGGAAAAAAAAGGATATGAAATGATTTGAATAAAAATGGTAAGGAGATAATGAAAGTAAATCAACAAAAGAATTAAAAGGATAAGAAGTTAAATAAACCATAAAAGTGACTAAATCGAGTAGAAACAAAACAAAGTAGAGAGTAGGATCGAAGTTAACGAAATATTAAGGGTTCAAGTGAAATTTTGTAGAGTAAAAAATCATAGACTTGAATAGGACTAAAATAAAATCACTGAAAACATATAAGACAAAATTAAAAGACCGTATAATTGAAAACATGGCTAAAACAAATAAAGACAACTAAAGGGGTTTGCGGAAATAATTTACCCCTGATTATTAAAACGCGGGCCCTTAATGGGCATTTTTATCAAACTATAGAGAGTTAATTATCTCATTCATACATGAATTATATCCGATTCTCAGTTTCATACATAAAATTTAAAAATTTTCGATTAACTACATAATATTTTCTGCCATTAACGGATTCACCCATCTTCGTCACGGAAAGTGACGTGAAACCCTATAACCTATAACAAACTGACACGTGGCACTTAGAAAACATGTTTTTTTTATATTTTTAGGTAAATTACATCATTCATCATTCAACTATCTTCTCACTCTTATTTTAGTCATTAAAGTTTAATTTTTTTAAATTTAATTGAAGAGAGGCAAGGCGGTGCTTACCAAAGAGTGTCGCCACTAAAGCTGGAAGTGCCGCCTAAGCCAACGTGGAAGGAGATACACTGGTTACCTTCTCCAACAAGCTGAGCAGCCCCAGTTCCTTGGCTTTAGAAAAAATGCCGAGTTTCTCTATCGACGAAAGGGTGAGTCCAAGCTCCTCCTCCTTGGATAACAGATCCGGCAAGAGACGAATCTGAAATGATATTTTTCATTTTTGTACTTTGGCAATGGCGGCTCCGGCAAGAGATGAAGCTCACGTGAAGAGTGTAGGGAATGGAGTTTTATAGTAAATGTTTCTGAATTTGAACCTTGTTTCAATCCAACTTCTGTTTGGGAAGAATCGTCTTCGTTGGAGGGCAAAGAGTCAACGACCTCCCTGCTAGCCACGGTGGGGAGTTCGATGGTGTCTCGCCAGAAAAAAGTATCTTCACCAGAAACAGAGGCTCAATAAGCAAATAGCTCTACATTAGCTTCATCGGATTCAAATCGGAGCGATATTCTGATCAACAATTTGAATTAAATAATGGCCAAGATCTAGAGGAGGTTGCAAAAGTTGTTTCAGTTTTCGAGAATTGCAAGACCACTGCTACAAAAACAGAAAAGGTATGGATCCTTGGCAGCGATCCATGAAAGATATTTGAAAACTTTCGAAAGGAAATTAGAAAGAAGAAGAAACAAGAGATTGTGGAGGAACCCTCAGAGCTGGAAGGAAGATCGAAATCAAATTCTGACATTTTAGCTAGAAGATCGATCTTGATAAGGGAAGTAAAAAAAATCTCTAAAGCTAGGCAAAACATTGGGGTTACACTTCCGAGGATCCGAAAAGGAAGTAGTGCGAGAACTTGTTATGCTGGAAGGGTCAGATGGAGAGTCGATGGCGTTTTAACGAAGAATAAGCGTTCGTGGTCTTCAACAGTGTGGGGGAAGAAGTTAATTATGAGGATTCGGGCTTGAATATTTGAGGTATAGGTTCCATTGTTAAATTTTTAGATTTGAGAAATCTATAATCTCGATTAGAGTAGATGTAACCTTCATTCAAGAAACATTGAATGAGTGCTTTTGAAATATAAAATTAGGGTCTTAAGTCTTTTCTGGGGGAACTTTGGGTGCATAGGAATATGTTGAGCAGGGTGTTAGCTTTGGGATGATAATGTGTTTAGGAATTATTGTGAATTGATTGCTTTGGTTAGTGCTACCACAATATATGTTTCTTATTGGTCCATGGAGTTTCTTATTATACTTTTTTGTCCTTGTTTATAGGGGAGTTATTAAAATATTAATAAAATACATTTAAGTTATTAAAATATTAGTAAAATAAATTTGATATATTAATAGATGTCATGTCATAAAAAAATAATAAAACAAATTTGAGTTATTAAAATAAGAATAATTATATAATTTAATAATTAAATTAAAAATTTAAACTTTAGTGACTTAAATAAGAGTGAGAAGATAATTAAGTGATAAATATTATAGATTACTTAAAAAATTAAAAAAAACATATTATTTAATGTGTCACATGTCATAATTATAAAATTACACGTCACTTTCTGTGATAAAACTAGATAAATTCATTAACGACAGTAAATATTATATAATTAATCATAAATTTTTAACTTTTATGTATGAAACTGAAAATTAAATATAGTTCATGTATGAATGGAATAATTAACCTAACTATAAAATACATTTACGAAACAAACTTCATTTTTTTTAAATTTAAAATTATTTGAATAAAAAACTTGTTTTTTTAAATCTCTCGAATGTTCTTGGTCATTCATCCTTTTTCTTCACTTTACTTTGCTGACCGCAAATAGGGGTTAGATCTTTTTCAATCCCTTTAGCACAAACCCAAAATCAGTTTCATATGAATCCTAAAAAGAAGGGTTAGATCTAAGGTTTTGTTCACGGAAACCTTTCTCTTTTCATTGAATCTCTCTTCCGATTTACTTCTTTGTATCCTATTTTAGAAAGCAAACTCTAAAAAAAGAAGACTTTCAAACCTCGAAGAGGTTTCGGATCCAAAACGATCCACTGTAAAACCTCCTCCTATCCTCGGGTTCCAAATGAAGATTAATTCCGGTGACTTCCCCCGATGAGTACCCCAAACAAAACACGCAAGCAAGAAAAACAGTAAATAATACCTTTTGAGTGTTAAAAAAAGCTTGATTGTATTCCTTGTTTTGAAAAGAAAGAATTACAGGGAAGTTTTTTTTCTTTTTCTCCTCTCCCTTTTCCCAGAAAAAAATTACCTTTCTTTTGTGATTTTTTCTATATATATATCTACTAGAATCTTAACAAACTCTCCTTTCTCATCTTTTTTGTTTTTTTTTTTGTCTCTTATCTCTTGCAGGTAAGCTTTGTGACTTGTAAAATCCCCCATTGTTACTGTTACAGAGAGGGTTAAGGTAACAATTCGTACAACTTCATCAGGAGATTTTGTGTGTCTCACACGCGTTGCGAAACCGGACGGTCTATTTCCTTGGACATCATTGGCGGCGCGGAAGTGCAACATTCAAGGATTAGGTTTGCGCTTGAGCCGTTAGATCATTCTAGATCTAATGGTTGTAGTTTTTGATGGCTATAGATGAAACCACAGTTTAGGGGCGTTTGGTAAGGATTTTTACATTCCTGGAAGGAATTTTTTTCATGTATTTGTTTCTCACATTTGGATGACCACATTCTCAAATGAGGGTAAAAATTTAATACCAACAGTATTTTTTTTTATATTTTACTGGGAATATCATTCTCACATCTTCCTTAAGTATTTATTTATTCCCATCATCTGTTGGCTAAAATACCCTTCTCCTCGTAGTTTACTTCTGTGAAGGAAAAAAGTCTTCTTCTACGATTTTACGAGAGAAGCTCACATAGTACAATTCAAAAACAAATATTTTTTCTTCTCTTCACTTATAATTTTCCCTTTCTGCATTCACATGGAATCCATTTAGTTTTCTTCAATTTCGACTACCCTTTACATCAATCACCAATTCTTTCTTTCTTTTTTGTGATAATCATTTTTTTTCATTTGTGTTCGAAAAGATCTGGTTGGTGGTGGATCCATGGGGATGTTATTTGTGGTGAATCTTGAAGGGAAGGCTTATAGTTGCAAGCACTGCAAAATCCAACTTGCTCTTTGTGATGATATTGTCTCAAAGGTTGTTTTTCTTCTTTCTTATATTTGATTCTTTTAACTCTTGGCTGAAATCTTCATCTGGGTGTTACTAATTTTTTTGGTTGTAATGTGTTTGTGTAATGGTGTTTCTAATTATGATTAGGGGATACCTAAGTTTCCATCGTTTTATTAGTTCACATCATTTATTATTACTTACTGGGAGCAGTATTTGGAACACATTTTAATTTTTGATGAAATTTATAATTAATGGGTTCAGTTGTTCATTAAATTAAGATTTCTCCTATTATTAAACTAGGAATTTGGTTATTCCATGTTTTTTTTCTGGTTTATGGTGCAATGGAATTTGTATTTTGTTATGCAAGTTCAATGTTACTTCTATGTTAAATTTGTCATAGAAAAACTGGGTGGATGCTTGGTGGGTTTCAATTAGGTTGGCATCATCTCTTTTTAGGCATAGATGATAATTTGATGTCCTTTGCAAGGGATTGGCGCTTTGATGATAACAAATTGTTGGTTGGTTGGTATTTTAAGGCAACCTTGATGTTTAATGTATTTTGGTTTGCTTTCCTGAGGACTTACGCTAGAGATTAAAACTACTATGTACCGTGTAAATGTTATTCTCAATCATGAATTTTAGATTTTGCATATTTGGTTGTGACAATCGACACTTTGTACTACCATCAAAAGTCGTAAAATGATGCTAATGTGAAGAAGATGGTAATTGTCTTATGCATTCAAATCGCTTCAAAGTTAAAATGCATTATTGCTAAAGTTTTAAGCAGTTATATATTTCATAGGCATATTGGTGTAGTTGATTTCGAGATTTTTAGGGGTGCTTTCACATTGTTACTAATTATTTTCATGGTGTTGGGGAAAAATATTGTTTGGGGTTCTCTTATAAGCACAGTTTGTAACCATGTGTTTTGCTTGTGTTATTTCATTCAGTCCTTCCACTGCAGTCATGGGAAAGCATATCTCTTCAGTAAGGTGTAAGTTTTCTCAGTTTTAGACACCTCATTTGTGTGTGTTAACCAACTACTGTAATATTTGCCCATGCTATAAGGTGTCGAGCTACTTCTATAACGACACAAGTAACGACGATGTTGTCAAACTATGTTGCACTCATAATTTCTTGCTTAATGGACGACGAAAAATTGTTCTTGGTGAATTCATTGTTGGTTCTGGTAATTTGTTTTGTTCATTTAGAGCAAGGCAATAACATTGCATTTTCAAGGATATATATTCCAAGGATGGACTTCCATGTACATGCCCGCTTGCATGATCTTTTGAGAAAATGGGATTTCAAGTTATCGATACAGGGTGCTTGTTTTTATATGTAGTTTTCATCTCCCATTGTTTCTCAGAGTAAATGTTCCGAGAGAAATTACAGGTTGGCAGATCACCTCGCAAAGCTTGGCCTCTGTCGGTGTAGTATGTTCAAAGCTTGGTGGGATTTATTTATTCTGGTTGTGATAGTTGTTGTTCTAGCTTTTTTTCTTGTGTTTCTAGCATTGTATTATTTATGTATTAACAGAGGTAAACTATTAAATTTGATCACTTCCTTTTTATATTTATAATCTTTATCATTAAATTTAAAAATACGTACATTTTGTCCAATTATGTTATTGATTGATTAAGTTTTGATCCTTTATGTTATTAACTGTTATATTTTTGTTAGGTTTTGTAAAATTTACAAACCAAGTACAACCACAACTGTGGCTAATTGAGTTGTCCTTAACATGTACACTGACCCAATATATGTTATTGGAAGCTACTGCCTCCACATGACTCTATTGGGTAAAAAAAGCAACTATATTTGTTGTGTATATATATATAAATGAAAATTACAATTTCTTTTACTTTATTATTATTAATTTTATTCAGGTCAAGAATGTACATATTATTATGTATGGTTAAAATATCATGTAAACATCATTATTAATTTTTTAATGGTAGGTGACTAAAACAGAATCAAAACGTAATATTATGTATTATTTTGAAATATAATAGTAATTGAGTGATCAAAACAGTAAATAAATAATATGTGGGTGACCAAATAGATAGTTTACCCATAAATTACCGATCAAATGACGAATAGTTCCAAATAAGTCGTAACTTGTTTTTATTATGTTAATTTATTAAATTTAATAAATAAGTTTAAACAAAAATTATATTTCAAAGTGATACAAAAAGTACTAGAAAATATGATTTAGATAATATAGATATTATATGATTTTAGAAATTAAAAGTAAAAATATGATTATTTTTTAATACTAATAATAATATATTTTATAATTAATAAATTAAAAATTAAAAGTATTCTCTAAAAAATTATAAAGTCATCTTTGTACATTTTGGTACGAGTAAAATGATTCATCTATTACAATGTTCATATGCTTATTTAGTTAAATGTTAATGTAAAATTTTAACATATTTTTAGATAAATTATGTAAAATTTAATATTAATTAAAATTAAAATAATACATGATATATTTAAATAATAAAGTAATATATTATCGATGAATTTTTATATAAATAATTTTCATTTAAATATTTAGAATTTCACTTGTTAAAAAATATAGAACAAGGACAATTTGGTAAAATATACATTCCAGTAATCTTTATTCCTTCAACCAAACACTGTAATCTTACATTCCTGCCAAACAAACCAAACACAGTAATATAACATTCACAGTAATGTGTTAGGTAATGTTACATTCCAGTAATCATATTCCCGGAGGTAATCTTACATTCCGTGAACCAAACGCACACTTAGGGTTTCTTTCAAATCCTTAGCAATTAGGCAACTAGGCTTTAGCACATTTGAGCTTCCTTGTTGAGTCTTGTAATATGGTTTCCTTTTGTATTGGATCTTCAATCAAATAAAAGTTAATTAGTTAAATATATGTTTATAATTATATATTTATTATTTAAAATTATATAGTATGTACATATACATCAACAAATCATATATATATGCATGTAACATCTATACGTACACGCATGTAATATATATATATATATATAAACCCACACGATCATAATATATGTATATACATGCTTAACCATAAATAATAATAATAAAATGTTAAAATGAATAAAGTAGTAGTTATATATATATATATATATATATATATATATATATATATATATATATATATTAACCACCTTTAATCTAAAATGTTTAAATATTATTATTAACACTAAATAAAAATTAAAATATTCAATAATATAAAAACTCAACCACGATGAAAATGAGTATATACACGCTTCATTGACATAAAAATGAGGAGTTTTCTTTGCGGTGGTGTTGCAATAATAAATATTTATTTGGATCTTCATCGTAATCATCATCATCTGTAAATTCTTCCTTTTCAATCTCCTTCTCTACTATAAGAAAACCAAATACATTAAAAAAAATGTTAATATTAGAAGTTACAACATTAAGTATTTAATAGCTAATTGTTTTCGTATTGTTGCCTAAATTCCTAATGCATGCCGACATTTCAGAACAAATCTCGTCACGCATTGACGACATATCGTCTCGCATTGCCCCGATTTCCTCATTCAAGTGCCCCAGTTGAGAATCAAAATGTTCCCGGAAATTAACAATGTATTCCATCAGTGACGATAGAGTAAAATTATTTTCAGGTGTAATGTCTTTCATTTGTTCATCATGATGTCCATGGCATCCACATTATCGTTGTTGGGTTGTGTCGCTTTAATGGTAACTTTCTTATCACCCTTTGTAGTCCAACCATTTTTTCTATAAATTCGTATCCACATTTATGAGCGGAACTATTGTCAATCTTTCAGGAAAAACGAACCAGGTCATCAACCAAAACATTAATTTCATGTTTTTTTTTTTGCAAAATATGGATAATGACACATACATAGGGTAGTAAAATAGTAATAGAGTCACCGTTCGTCACCAAATTAGTGAGAGTAAGGAAAATGAGTTTTTCCACCGGAAGATCGAATAAACCAAGAGAGAAGAAGATGAAACAATATGGCTTCCAAATCTAGATTAATTGAGCTATTCATGTCCACATGTCTAATTTCATCTAAATCATTTTCATTGATACTCCCTTCATCTATAAGACCTAAATCGGTAGCTATGGAATCCATATATATATATATATATAGAAAGAGTTTTTCCATTACATAAGTATTAATTCTTATATTAGTATCCCTATAAGGTTCATGATCTAATGATGCATTACTGAAGAATACTCAAACAAGGTTGGGATAATATTTAGGCTATACACTAAGAAACTCAATCCAACCCCACTTCATAAAAGTTTCTTTAAAACCAAAGTTATACTTAGGATTGAATATGAAGTCCATGTTCATAACACGTTCCACAAAATTTTCCTTTTTTGTAATGGTTCGTAAATTTATGTTTCTCTTCTTCAGTTCTAAAGTTTAGTTCAAAAGACTTACCTTGAGACTTTCCTTGGGAAGAAGTCTGTCGAGGACGTTTTGGAGCCATTTAAAGGACAATGCAATGTGTGTTGTAGCAGAATGCTATGGAAATCTTGTAAAACAAAAGGAAAAAAAAATATAAGAACATATATATCCAAAACCACAATCTTAATATACAATGAAAAGCTTTAAACCATAAAATATAAACTCTAAACCCTAAACACTCCTGAAATTGTTTTCAAAATACTTACAAACCTGGATTGAGTCGATAGTAAGATTTTGTTGAATCTTGAACAATGTAATTTTCTGTGAGTGAATCGTCACCTGGGAGAGAGTATATCGGGCGAGACAAATCGATATAATGAAAACTAAAAAATTAAATCGTTTAAAAAATATTGATATTTAGGGATTTAATATCAATATTAAGGGACTTGACATAAACCTTTTACGTTACACTAAAAACCATATTTGTATTAAATTTAATAATATAAACGGTTTAATACCTATAACCTAAATGGTTAACAAATAGAAAATGTGCTACCTACAATGTTATACTTATAAACCTATTTTGTCTTACTTGTGCACAATATAAAAGGTTTCAAACATATAACGTAAACAATTGACAATTAAAAAAGGTGCTACCAATAATGTAATACTTTTAAACTTGTTTTGCCTTACTTTTTCATAATAAAATAGGTTTCAAATAAATAACCTAAAAGGTTGACAAATAAAAAATGGAGCAAGCTATAATGTTAAACTTACAAACCTATTTTGTTTTAAATTTTTCATAATAAAAACAATTTCAAACATATAACGTACACGGTTGACAACAAAAAAGGTGCTACTTGTAATGTTATACTTTTGAATCTGTTTTCTTTTACTTTTGCATAATATAAAAGGTTTTAATCATAAAATGTAAACAGTTGACTATTAAAAAAGGTAGTACCTATAAAGTTATATTGATAAACCTGTTTTGTCTTACTTTTGCATAATTAAAAAGGTTCCAAATAAATAACCTAAAAGGTTGACAATTTAAAAAGGTACAACCTTGAATGTTAACCTTATAAACCTTTTTTGTCTTACTTTTTATGATATACGTGAATTTAAACATATAACGTAAACGGTTGACAATTAAAAAAGATGCTACCTATAATGTTATACATATAAATATGTTTTGTCTTACTTTTGCATAATATAAAAGGTTTTAATCATAAAACGTAAACAATTGATAGTTAAAAAGGCGCTACCTATAATGTTATATTAATGAACCTGTTTTGTCTGGCTTTTGCATAATAAAAAAATGTGTAACATATAATGTTAAACTTATAAACATGTTTTGTTTTACTTTTTTCATAATAAAAATGGTTTCAAACATATAACATACACCGTTGACAAATAAAAAAGGCGCTACCTGTAATGTTATACTTTTAAACATGTTCTTTCTTACTTTTGCATAATAAAAAAGGTTTTAATCATATAATATAAACGATTGACAATTAAAAAAAGGAGCTACCTATAATTTTATACCGATGAACCAATTTAGCTTACTTTTGCATAATAAAAATGGTTTCAAACATATACTTTTAACGGTTGACAATTTAAAAAGGCACAACCTTGAATGTTAACCTTATAAACCTTTTTGGGTTACTTTTTCATGAAATAAATGCATTTACTTAATCAAGATGATGAAATAGCCAAAAAGGGGTAACAAATACAAATTTTGGTGTAACCTTAACATAAAAG